CAGTTAGTAGAGATGCAGGTGTTCATACTGCAGTATGAGTCCTGCAAGCAGTTAGTAGAGATGCAGGTGTTCATACTGCAGTATGGATCCTGTAAACAATTAGTAGAGATGTAGGTGTTCATACATATAATTGGATACTGAAAAAAAAACTGTAGATATGAATTTCTGAGGTTATACAGGTTATGCAAGTGCACTATACAAATTAAGCAATGAACAATAGTATGAAAAACACTTGGCACTCCGATTTGTTAAAATCTGAATCAGACTGATGTCATTAACTCACAAATGTACATATCTTGAGAAAAATAACTTTGTAACTCAAATGATTTTGTGTGTGTGTGCGTGCGTGCAAAACAGACTTGTACGTTTTACTAAAAGCTTCTTACATTTTGAGTAAATACACATATTAAATTCAGAATGAAGGTCAATATTCTTTCTAAAATACAGGGCCAGTTGGACTGAAGGTACAGCTTTGGTTAAACAATGAATAGCATGTTTATATTGGGGATAGATTTCAAATAATGAGAAGAAAATAATCTGTTTATACTGGCAATAAATCTTTAGACAATGAGTTGAGAAACAATGTTTATTTTAGGGTAGATTCGTTACACTGTGAGTAACCTAACAACTACGTCTATAATGAATTGCAGTATGTAGACACAGCTTCAGTTAGTTTAACAAAAGTTTCACGTGATAAAAATGGCGCCCATCACTACAGGATTACGAGTACTTGGGGGAGGTGGACAAATAGTCACGCGATTTTTTTTACAGACACTTGTTGATTCACCGTCCTTACATGCACAATGTCGAGAAAATGCAGCTTACATGTCTTACGTTCAAACTTTGATCTGTATTCCCCCTATCGTACAACTGCACTAAAAGCTGCGTTTAATAACTCGAAATATTCTTAGGAGCAAGCAGTAAATGGTAAAAACGCAACAAACCACAACAAATCCCTCAAATTCCCGCGCATCAACAAGCGTGGCAGACAAGTAACGTCCCGCCTTACTTTTGTTGAAGATAAACAACTTTCTAGGTCAAGGACGTTTGCTTTGCGAGTAAATAATATACTATACTTCTAGTCTATTTGATCAGTATGATGTCTTACATCTTAACAGCATTATTTACTCGATTGGATAAAACGATATCTCTTTCAACCGTTTCCATTCTCAGGATGGCATCATCTAAAACTAACATACTTTTTACGAAGGAATGGAAAATGCAGTTATTTCGTGGGAGATCAATATAATTTCGATATCTTTTTGGACGTTTGGGAGATGGTTTTAAAAAAACAACAAG